GACCAGGCGGAGGCGGAGGCAGAGTCCGAGGAGACGGCAGAGGCCAGGGACGAGGACGAGGTGCAGGAGGGCCCGTCTCCGCATCCTCTCCCACTCTGTCTGCCCTGCTCCTCTTGGTCAACCCTCTTCGGGTCTTCGTTTCGGGGGCCTTCCTGGGGCCCGCCGGACGGATCTGCTCGACTCTGATTCCGCATCGGGTTCGATTCAAGCTCTTTTCAAGCGCGACTCGAGCTCGACTCAAGTCGACGGACGCTTAGCCGCAGTACCGACGGGCGCATGGGCGGAGCGAACGGCCCCAGGACGGAACGAGCATCCAACCTGCTTCCCCTCGTCCCCATGAGGCGTACTCTGCGTTCGGTAGTGAGCGTCCCCCCCCTCGACGAGTGTCAACGTCAACCCGTCCGCGCCCGTGCGTGGGCAGAGGGGTCTGTTCCTCTCGGCGGATGGCGTGTGCCGATCTGGGGCTGACGTCGCGCGGCAGTGTCTGCCCGCCACGGGTGTCGATGTGGGGCTGCCGGCGAGGGTGGCGCCTCCCCGTGCTCACTGCCGAATGCAAGGCTAGCACTTGCCCCATCAGTGTTACCGACGGCTGCACGCTAGTGTAGCAACGAGCGTGCTTGCATACGTGTGCTGTCCCTGCATGTATGTGTATACATATACGTGTGTATAGGAGATTTGCACATGCGTCTACTAGACATCGGTGTGCGTATGCACACCCACGGATTGCAACGCATGAAGCTCGCCGGATCATAATCTCGGAGTTGTTCGTGCCGCCCGATTGGCCGCAGAGCTCACCACACCGCACCTCCCCCCTCGGCGTGGCCGCTCTTCGACGACCCGCCGCCGCTGCGAAGCGATTCTTGCCGCCGAAGGCCACGACGTCAGTTGGCTGTCGCTCCCCCCTTCTCGGGGCGGAAGAGCGGCATCACATGCACTTTCGGAGGTACGCGCGGAGGTCTTGGATCGGCGCTGGACGTGAGTGGAACTCCGCGCGGACCTCCGATCGTTTATGTTTCAGTGGCTTGTTCTGTCGCATCTCTTGTGTTGCCCTGATGCTTTGGGGGCCTGGGGCCAGGGCGACAGCACAGGAAGGGGCGGATTGCAGCTCCTCCTCGGCCGCCGCAGGTTGCAAGCGTGAGTGATCGAGGCAATTTGTCTATCCTTCACCAGTCGGCGGCGAGCGAGGGGGGGAAGTGAGAAGGAAAAGGCCTTCTCAGAAGGTGGCTGGGCTTCTGGGAAGCTCGCGCGCCTCCTGAGGAGCTTTCGGCGTCTTCGGGGAAGGCTCAGGAAACTCCCGAGCCTTCTGAGACGGCCTTCTCCCTCCCACTTCCCCCCAAACCAGGTCCCGCCCGGGGACCGGGCGAGGGACAGAGTCCGCCTCTGCGCCTCGCGTATCCGGGCCGGAGCAGGAGAAAGATGCACCGATGCTGCTGCTCTTCCTGTGTCGTCGCCCTCTCGGGCCTCCTGGCAGGCCCCTGCGGACCCGTCTGCGGGCAGGAGGTGCTCCTGGGGCGCCCGCTGGTGTGGCTGCCGTGCAGCCACATCAGGGCGCGCGGCCGAGGGCACGGCTACTGGCAATGAGCCCTCTCTGGAGAGAGTTCGCTTTCAGTGAGGCTTTGGGCTCGCAGTTCATCGAGGATGAAAGAAGATCGATCGGGGGTGGACAGAACCCCCAACAGTGACACGTCGATGAGTGAATTGTCCGTTTTCGGTTCTCGAGAGGGCGCCGCGGCCGTTATTTTCCAGGCTTGCGCCCGCCAGGTTTGGGCCTCAGGTCGTTTTCACTAAACCACGTTTTACTAAAGGGAGGTCTGTCCATCCCCAAGAAAACCCTAACCCTGATCACATAGTGAAGACGTGGCCTCACTCAGGTCTCCGTCTCTGTATCAGGGATTTGATACATCTGGGCGGCTTGGTCCGATGCATCTGCAGACAGTACCCCCTAAGTATCCTGAATGCTTCTGGCCATCCTAATTATAGGTCCCCTCCCACAGGGATACGGGTACCTTTTAAGGTTTACCCATCGGCCGTTGAAAGTAGGTATCTCTGGATTCCCAGATTCCAATCTACTTCAAGCGCCTTCCTACTTCAATGATCGAGTGGCTTCACCGTTTCCTTCCTCGTCAGGGGGCGCGCGGAAGCCCAATCTGTTATTGTTTCATGTTCCTACCTACTTCGTCCGACCGAGGGGTATCATCAGTGCGCCTTCTGCCGTCAGCGAACCTCTGCTTTCGCGAGCCTGTCGCCTTCCCGTGCGCCCCTGCCCGCAGCAGTGACAGCTCACTGCTGCAGAGCTCCTTCCTGGCGGACGCACGGGCGCACGGGTGAGCGAATGGCCGGCGCGCTCCGTCTGCGGCTCTCTGCCAGCTCCTGAGGGGGGTGGGGTCGCCACCAGGGGGTCGAGGAGAGGATCGACTACAGCATTGGTTTACCCTCAGGCTCATCTTCTCGTCGACCTTTTGCTTCAAACATTACAGAGCGTTCGTAGATCGAATCCGTTTACCCCCAATGTCATCTTCTCGCCGGAAGTTTCACAAACGCATGTAGAACTATGGTCGTGAATCCACGAAAATGACACGCAGCGTTCATAGACTCGTCGCACAAGTCATTTCTGGAGTAGACCAAGTTTGTAGTCGATCCACTACTCCAAGGGGGGGTCGGCAGCTCCTCCTACCAGGGGTCGAGGTGGTTCTTGGCGACTCCTGTTTGCCCTCGCTTGGCTGGTTACGGCTTGCGGGATGGGGGTCCCGCTGCTCTCACGCGCCGCGTGGGTCCTCGGGGCGACGGGGAGGGGCAAGGAGCCCACGTCCCCGTCGTGACGCAAGAGTGGTCGGAAGCCTCTCCGTGGCCCGGGCTGCGTCCTCCTCGCCGAGAACTGTCTGGGAGCCGCCTTTGATCGCCCCGTGCTGGCGTTGCACGCTCCTGGACTGCACCCGTGTGGGGCCCGCCAGCGGGCGCCAAATGGGCTCAACCTTTGGCTCCATCTATTGGTGTGGTGGGCATTGGAGGGGCGGACGCTCAACGTCTGGGGAGGCTCGGAGGGGGTCTAGAGTCTAGAGGCTCATGAGGGTCCTACCTCGTCTCCCTCCTCGAGGAGGCGACCATCCCCTGCCCCAAGTCCTCCGACGTCATGGCTTTTGCTCGCAACGTGGGCCCCTGAAGGTCACGGCACCCGTTTGTCGTCCCGAGCCGCCTGCTGACGGCCCCGGGGCCCCCCCAGGGCCCCCAGGGGCCGAACACGGCAACAGCACTCCCGCCGTGACTCGCGACGTGAAGAGGGGCTGGGCCTGGTGTTGGCCCCCCCTTGGCATTGCCTGGGCAGCTCGTCTGCCCGCACGAGCAGAAGTCGCTCCGCGGTGGAAGAGTTCGTTCGGTAGCAACTCATGGAAGCCTGGCGTACCCTGTTACTTCCGTCTTTCGCGTCGACTAGCGTCTGGAGTCGATGCGATAGAGCCGACTTGGCGTCGGCTAGCGTCGATCAGCGTCGAGTTAGGGTCGATTGGCGTCGATATAGCGTCAATGAGCGTCGATTCGAAAGAGCCGACGAGATGGTATGGGAGGCTCCCGTGAGTTGCCACCGAAGGTTCGTTCCCCGGTGACCGCTTCCAGGTCCACACCGGAGGCCCCCTCCCCCGGTAGAGCGCTCCGCTCCCCGAGCAGCAGCCAGGCCTCCCTCTTGGGGCTTTCGTGTGAGAGTCGCCTCTGAGGGGCAGCTGCCCCTCTTAGCGACTTGGATCAGCCACGTGATGCGAATCGGAGGAGGAGGCGGAGGAGGAGGAGGAGGAGGATCTAAAGAGGAGGAGGAGGAGGAGGAGGAGGAGGAGGAGGAGGAGGAGGAGGAGGAGGGGGATTCGGTGGGGAGGGGGGGAACTTCGCATCACGTGACGACATCCCTCTGCCTACCCTCGGCATTGCCCCGCCCACGGCAGAGGGCGCCCCGGCAGGGCCGACGTCGGGAGGCCCCAGCCCCCGCCGCCGCGATGCGGCAGGGGAGGGCGCGCCCTCTTGGGCCCCCCCGTGTGTGAGGGCGACCCGCGTGCCGCGTGCCGCGCCGGCTTTCCCGAGGCGGCGTCGATGCTCGGCTGTAAGTCGGGCATGTCTCCCTACAGGAGGACGATTCGAAAATACTACTAAGATATACTGGGGACGCTTTTTTGACGATTTCTGATTGCTTTTGAATACGTTTGACTGTTTTTCATTTTTCGTCCAAAACTCCGCCTGTAGGGTGACATGCCTGACCTAACGCTCGGCCCAGGACCTCCCCCGGCCACTGGCGCGGCATGAGAGGTGCGCCCTTGCCCCTCTGCTAGGGGAGCGAAGAATGACATGAACATGCAACATCGGAGGTCCGCGCGGATTTCTCGGATCCGCGCTGGACGCGCCAGGGGCGGCGCCGGAGGCGCCGCCAGGGGGGTCCAGCGCTGATCTGAGAAATCCACACGGACCTCCGAGTTTGTATGTTTATGATATTCTTCGCTCTCCTCTCTGCTTGGACGACCTGTGCGCAGCGTGCCGCGACGGCCTCTCCCGAGGCGTCGTCGATGCGAGACCCACGGGTGGTGCTTACCAGGAGGTTGGGTACACGTGACGCGCACGGCTGGTGCGAGAGCTGGACACACGCGTACACACGCATACACTCACCCACACACACAAACACACACACACACGCACACATGCACACACGTATTCACACACACACACACACGCACACACACGCACGCACGCGCACACGCACACACACACTCACACACACACACACACACGCACACACACACGCACACGCACACGCAAACACACACACACACGCACGCACGCACGCACGCACACAAGCAAACACACACCACAAACACCACACACATCACACACACATACACACTCTCTCTCTCTCACACACACACACGCACACACACATACACACGCACACACGCACACACGCACACCACACACACGCACGCACGCGCACACGCACACGCACACACACAAACACACATACACACGCACACGCACACGCACACGCACACGCACACGCAAACACACACACACACACCCACACACACACCACACACACACACACACACACACACCCACACCCACACACACCACACACACACACTCTCTCTCTCTCACACACACACACACACACACGCGCGGCCACATGTCTCTCCAGCCCTCGGCCCTCGTCGGGCCAGGCACGATGATCCTCCATATGTGCATCCAGGAAGGGGCCTCCAGACGTTTCACACGTGAATCCAGCCTTGTACGTGTCCAGCTTCCTGGTACGGCGCACAGTGCTTCCTCGGCCCCCGAGGCCGACACAGGCTATGCACGTTCCGCGCTGGAGCGGGGCATGCGTGGAGTCCAGGCATGGTACGGGTAAGTCGGACATGTCCCTCTACAGGAGGAATATTCGAAAATAGTCAAAACATAGTCTGGGGACTTTTTTTGCACTTTTTTTGTCCCAAGTCCGCTCGCAGGGGGACATGCCCTACCTGACGGCACGGTGTATGGGCGCCGTCCTCATATGATGCGGCAGGGGGGAGGCGCGCCCTTGCTCTCGGTCAGGCTTTCCACCGAGCTCGCGACGCGCAACCTTGGCGCGTCAACGCGTTCCCGCGGGGGGGGGAGCCCAGGCCTTCCAGCTGGGGTCCGAGCAGGCGGGGCCCGAGGACGGCGCCGAGTCGCCGATGCATCGGCAAGGCGGCTCGACGAGGAGCCAGAGTTTCTCCACGTCGACGTCGCCGATGCATTGCCGACGTCGCCGATTTATCTGCAATGCATCGGCGATGCATCGGAGACTTGGATGCCTCCGGGGGCCGAAGTCGGGTTCAGGGAAGCGGTCTTGTCGGCGTTGGGGTTGGCCGAGTCCCTCCAGATCGATGCTCGGGAGGCCCGAGTGCTGATCCGACTCATCATGGCCCCGCGGCGGCATTTCCACGGCCGATGGGTCAGTGCTCGGTCGGCTCCGGTGGCACTCGAGCAGCTCCCTCGGAGCGCAGCGCTGACCTGGCCGTTTTTGCTGCTCCGTGTGAAAGGTTTCGCGCCAGCCTCGAGCGTAGTCCTTATTGAGGCTCCTCCGAGGCTTGGCCCGCGATCAGACCCGCCGCTGCTGCGCTTGCCTTCCAGGGCGAATGCGTAATCTGCTGCGCTCCCCTTTTAGGCCCTTCTTCTTCCTCGCCCCTCCTCGACGCGCCATTCCGACCTCTCGAGGAAGAGGAGGCCTCGCACAGGGCGGAGAGCGTGACTGGCCCCAAGGCCACCAGGCCGCCCAGCAGTGCCGGCATGAAGAACCTCGAGCCCGAGGAGGAGGAGGAGGAGGAGGAGACCTCGGGCATCAAGCCACTGTTCTCGGAGGACGAGGAGGTGACGCACAGGGCGGAGAACGTGACTGGCCCCAAGGCCACCAGGCCGCCCAGCAGTGCCGGCATGAAGAACCTCGAGCCAGAGGAGGAGGAGGAGGAGGAGGAGGAGGAGACCTCGGGCATCAAGCCACCGGTCTCGGATGACGAGGAGGTAACGCACAGGGCGGAGAACGCGACAGGCTCCAAGGCTACCGTAACGCCCAGCAGTGCCGGCGTGAAGAACCTCGAGCCCGAGGAGGACGAGGAGGAGGAGGAGACCTCGAGCGCCAAGCCATTGTTCTCGGAGGAAGAGCAGGGAACGCACAGGACGGAGAGCGCGACTGGGTCCAAGGCTACCGTAACGCCCAGCAGTGCCGGCGTGAAGAATCTCGAGCCGGAGGAGGAGGAGGAGGAGACCTCGGGCATCAAGCCACCGGTCTCGGATGACGAGGAGGTAACGCACAGGGCGGAGAACGCGACTGGCTCCAAGGCTACCGTAACGCCCAGCAGGAGGACGAGGACGAGGAAGGCGAAGCCGGAGGAGGAGGAGGAGGAGGAGGAGAAGACTTGGGGTATCAAGCCACTGTTCTCGGAGGACAAGGAGGGGACGCACAGGGCGGAGAACGTGACTGGCTCCAAGGCCACCAGGCCGCCCAGCAGTGCCGGCGTGAAGAACCTCGAGCCAGAGGAGGACGAGGATGACGAGGAGGAGGAGACCTCGGGCATCAAGCCACTGTTCTCGGAAGACGAGGAGGTATCGCACAGGGCGGAGAACGTGACCGGCTCCAAGGCCACTGGTCCGCCCAGCAGTGCCGGCGTGAAGAACCCCGAGCCGGAGGAGGACGAGGAGGAGACCTCGGACGTCAAACCGCTGCTCTCGGAGGACGAGGGTGAGGTCACTCACGGGCGGAGAAAGTGACTGGCTCCAAGGCCACCGTGGAAGGGTAAACCACTGTACCCGTGCCGTGGAAGGATCGGGCCGATCCGATGTCATTTCGATTGTCGACGATCTCAGAAGGCCTTCTGCCTGCGTGGCGCAGTGGTGTGCCCTGTGTTAGGTCTGGCGTGTCTACCTACAGGCGGATTTTGGAGGAAAAACAGAAAGAGATAGTGCAAACATTCCTCGAAACAACCAAAAATACAACAAATCGTCCTCAGATCTGTGTTGACTATATGATCGTTTTTATTCCCCACATCCTGAGTGGGGTTCTTGTTTTCCCAGAACACCCTCTCCTTCCCACCCACCTCCCGCTCCATCTTCCATACAGCACAATGTTATTCCTACCACACACACCATACCATACCATAGTTCCTACCACACATACCATACCATACCATACCATACCACACCATACGTACCATACCGTACCGTACCATACCATACCATGGCTCATAACATACCGTACCATACCATACCTACCTCCAGGGAGGCCCCGCCTGAGCGAGGAGGGTATCGGAATACCATACTATTTACATGGTTTCGTGCCCCTCCCACCCCTCCAGGGAGGCCCCGCCTGAGCGAGGAGGGTATCGGAATACCATACTATTTACATGGTTTCGTGCCCCTCCCACCCCTCCAGGGAGGCCCCGCCTGAGCGAGGAGGGTATCGGAATACCATACTATTTACATGGTTTCGTGCCCCTCCCACCCCTCCAGGGAGGCCCCGCCTGAGCGAGGAGGGTATCGGAATACCATACTATTTACATGGTTTCGTGCCCCTCCCACCCCTCCAGGGAGGCCCCGCCTGAGCGAGGAGGGTATCGGAATACCATACTATTTACATGGTTTCGTGCCCCTCCCACCCCTCCAGGGAGGCCCCGCCTGAGCGAGGAGGGTATCGGAATACCATACTATTTACATGGTTTCGTGCCCCTCCCACCCCTCCAGGGAGGCCCCGCCTGAGCGAGGAGGGTATCGGAATACCATACTATTTACATGGTTTCGTGCCCCTCCCACCCCTCCAGGGAGGCCCCGCCTGAGCGAGGAGGGTATCGGAATACCATACTATTTACATGGTTTCGTGCCCCTCCCACCCCTCCAGGGAGGCCCCGCCTGAGCGAGGAGGGTATCGGAATACCATACTATTTACATGGTTTCGTGCCCCTCCCACCCCTCCAGGGAGGCCCCGCCTGAGCGAGGAGGGTATCGGAATACCATACTATTTACATGGTTTCGTGCCCCTCCCACCCCTCCAGGGAGGCCCCGCCTGAGCGAGGAGGGTATCGGAATACCATACTATTTACATGGTTTCGTGCCCCTCCCACCCCTCCAGGGAGGCCCCGCCTGAGCGAGGAGGGTATCGGAATACCATACTATTTACATGGTTTCGTGCCCCTCCCACCCCTCCAGGGAGGCCCCGCCTGAGCGAGGAGGGTATCGGAATACCATACTATTTACATGGTTTCGTGCCCCTCCCACCCCTCCAGGGAGGCCCCGCCTGAGCGAGGAGGGTATCGGAATACCATACTATTTACATGGTTTCGTGCCCCTCCCACCCCTCCAGGGAGGCCCCGCCTGAGCGAGGAGGGTATCGGAATACCATACTATTTACATGGTTTCGTGCCCCTCCCACCCCTCCAGGGAGGCCCCGCCTGAGCGAGGAGGGTATCGGAATACCATACTATTTACATGGTTTCGTGCCCCTCCCACCCCTCCAGGGAGGCCCCGCCTGAGCGAGGGTATCGGAATACCATACTATTTACATGGTTTCGTGCCCCTGCCCCTACCCCAGGGGAGGCCCCGCCTGAGCGAGGAGGGAGGAGGGCCTCGAGGATCGGAATACCATACTATTTACATGGTTTCGTGCCCCTCCCACCCCTCCAGGGAGGCCCCGCCTGAGCGAGGAGGGCATCAAGAACATGGGTCCCACAAAACCGTTAATCTCTTTATGTGGGGAACTCCGTTAGCATAATTCATTGTTTTGCCGATCGGCGCGGGCCCCCCAACCCCCCCCCCTGCCCCCCTCCAATGGAGTGGATCTTGGCTGTTTGGGGGCGCCTTCTTCGAGCAGGTGGGGTCTCCCCCACAATAGACGCCTCGTTCCAAACAGCCGCAATAAGCAGAGGTCTGGAGTCAGATCCCCCCCTCCCCCCCCCTCTTCCGACCAATGTCGAAACGCCAAATAAAAACAATATGGCCATCTGCAAATATTCCTCCTACAGAAGGACATGCCCGACTTAAGCACGGTGGTTGCCGAGCCGCCCCCCGCGGAGGTTGAGGTCTCGCAGGCGCGGGCGTCGGCGGATCGTGGCAGGTAAGCGACGCCAAGCCAGTTGCTCCAGAGGGGTTGCTGAGCGTGGTCTGCGTGCTCAGGGCGTAGGCGGACGAGGGGGGAGGAGGAGGAGGAGGAGGAGGAGGAGGAGGAGGACGACGAGGAGGAGGAGGAGGAGGAGGAGGAGGAGAGGAGGAGGAGGAGGAGGAGGGAGAGGAGGGGAAGGGGTGGAGATTCCTCCTCCCCCTCCCCCTCCCCTTCTTCCTCCTCCTTCTCCTTCTCCTCCTCCTCCTCCTCCTCCTCCTCCTCCTCCTCCTCCTCCTCGGAATGAGGAGGAGATGGCGGAGGAGGAGGGGCACAGGAGGAGCAGAGGAGAAGGGAGCAGAGGTGGCAGGAGAAGGAGGAGATGGTGGATCAGGTGGTGAGGCAGGGGTGGGAGGAGAAGGATGAGGAGGAGGAGGAAGAGGATGAGAACGTGGAGGAGGAACGAGGTGGAGGTCGGAGGAGGGCAGACGAGGAGATGGGTGAGCCAGGGGGAACGGGGACATGCACATGATGATGATGCTGGTGCTGATGCTGTTGATGATGCTGCTGATGATGCTGTTGATGGTGATGCTGATGCTATGATGATGGTGATGCTGCTGCTGATGATGATGATGATGCTGATGCTGATGATGAGGATGAGGATGAGGATGCTGCTGATGTTGATGATGATGATGTTGATGATGATGGTGGTGGTGGTGCTGGGGATGATGAGGAGGACGAGGAGGAGGAGGAGAAGGAGGAGGAGGAGGAGGAGGAGGGGCATAATGATGAAGAGGAGGTGGAGGAGGAGGAGGAGGAAGAGGAGGAGGAGGAGGAGGAGGAACGAGGTGGAGGTGGGAGGAGGGCAGACGAGGAGGTGGGTGAGCCAAGGACATGCGCATGATGATGCTGGTGCTGATGCTGATGATGCTGCTGATGATGCTGTTGATGGTGATGCTGATGCTATGATGATGGAAATGCTGCTGATGCTGATGATGAGGATGAGGATGAGGATGAGGATGAGGATGTGGATGATGATGCGGCTGATGTTGATGTTGATGTTGATGATGATGCTGATGCTGCTGATGATGATGATGCTGATGCTGATGATGATGACGATGCTGATGATGATGATCATGTTGATGATGATGATGATGATGATGATGATGATGATGATGATGATGATGATGATGATGATGATGATGATGGTGGTGGTGGTGCTGGTGATGATGAGGATGACGAGGAGGAGCAGGAGGAGGAGGAGGAGGAGGGGCAGAATGATGATGAGGAGGTGGAGGAGGAGGAGGAGGAGGAAGAGGAGGAGGAACATGTGCAGGAGGGAGAGGAAGTGCTGGAGGGAGAGAAAATCGGTGGGGGAGGGCTTGGAAGTAAACAGAGATGGTGTCAGGGCGGGCAGCGGAGAAGGGAAGAATCGAAAGCCGCACGGTCGTGTTCGTGCTGTTCGTGATGTGCGCGCGGGGCTGTGCGCGAGTTCTCACGTTCGTCAGGGCGGATGTCCGGAAGTCGTCTTCCTGCTGCGGCGGGTGGGGATCTGCCGGATGTCCCTTCCGATGGTGTCGCGATGGTGCCCCAGCTGGTTAAACGGTGCTGTCCCGATTGGCTTTCGCTTGTGTTCAGGGTGTCTTGCCTGGTAGCCGGATGTGCCTGTCGATGGTGTCCCGATGGTGTTGTGACTGGTTCTCGACGGTGCGTCCAGATGGTGGCCAGGTGTCTCGCTCTTAACGATAGCGTCCCGATTGGTAACCCATTCGATTCAACGATGGTTTTCCGAGGATGCCCCGTTGGATTTGCCGACAAGCCCTCGGCGTGGATGGCGAGGCATAAAGGGGGAGCACAGGGGCAGAAAGCAGGAGGGGGGTATCACGAACACGTCATAGCACGGAATAGCACAGGGTAGCCGTGCATCGCATCACAGGGGGTTAGCATTGCAATCGAGGCTGGGGAAGCAGAAGAGCAGATACCCCCATCCATTGCGGGAAAGAGTGAGGGGTGTCCCCGATAAGGTTTGCATCCGCATCGCATCCCCGACTAGCAAGCCTGATTCGTTTCCCCGATTGGCGCCCACGGTTAGCGCGCCCGACCAGCTCGACGCGCCCGTTCCGCTGGCGCGCCCGACGGGCGCGCGCTCGCCCCTGGGCCGACATCCCGTTGCAGCCACGGGCGTGAAGGGATCTGATAAGCCCGTTCGGATCCCCCTCTCTCTGAATTGAACCCCGCCCCACCAGACAACGTCCTTCGTGTTTGCGTTGTGCGTCCGAAGCGCTTTGTGGGCCCTGGAAACGGCAGGGCCGTTTTTTTCACCGTTTCCCCAAAAATGTCCCTTGAAAATGGAAACGGCAAAAAAACGGCGACCGGAAACGGCAAAAGAAACTGCTCCAGGATTGGAACCGGAGCCGGAACCGGTCAAAAAACGGCGACGGAACCGGTAACAAAACGGCGTCGGTACCGGCAAAATAACGGCAAAACGGAACCGGGAACAAAAACGGCCTTGTCGTTTCCAGGGCCCACTAAGCCTGAGCGCCTCCTTGCTTCTCCCCCGCCCGTGGTCCCCCCTTGTCTTTTCCTTTCCTTCTTGCGCGCCGGGCAGTTTGCCGTTCGGTGCCCCCGATTGGCCCCGCGCTGGTGCGGATGGCCTCCGCCTCGCCGCCGACGAAAAAGTTTGTGTCATGCGTGACGTGCGTGCGTGCGAAGCTGTGCGGGAGTTCCCCACGTCGTCAGGGTGGTTGGTGGGGAACGGTCCTGCTGGTCCTCCCCGAGCGGACGGCATCTGTCGGGTGCGCCTACGGTGTCTCGATTGCGTGGCAATGGCTTCTCGATCGTATCTCCAGAGCTGTTCGATGTTGTCCCAATGATGACAATGATTGGCTTTCGATGGTCAGGAGAGGAACGATGAGGAGGGAGGGGGTGGAGGGAGGAGGCGGAGGAGGAGGAGGAGGAGGAGGAGGAGGAGGAGGAGGAGGAGACAGAGAGGAGACCCTCTCCTCCACCCCCTCCCTCGGCTCGATCGCTCTCCCTTCTTGCCCCTCCCCACTTCCCCCCCTCGATCCTCCCTGCTCGGCCCCCTCCACCCCCCCTTCCTCCCCCTTCCCCCGTCCGCCCCCCGCGGCGCGGCGGCGGCGGGCAGCGCTCCCCAGGCAGGGCGGCTGCCTCCTCCCCCCCTCCCTGGCGGGCGCGTGAGGCGGGGGCGCGCCGGCTCCGCGCGGGGCCCCGCCCGCGCGGCCTTTTGGGGGGGGGGGGGGGGGCGCCGGTTCGCCCCGAGGGGAGGAGAGAGTCAAAGAGCCGGCTGCTGCCGCAGCCCAGACGCCTCTCGTCTCCCTGCCCGTGTGTGCTCTCTTGCTCCCGCTCCTCCCGCCCCCTCCCCCTCCCTCGCCCCTCCCGTCCTCCCCCCCCGTCTCCTCCCGCGTCCTGTCTCTTCCCTCCTCCGCCCTCCTCCTGTCCTCATCCCTTCTCTCTCCTCCCTCCACGTTCCTTCTTCTTTCTCCTCCTCCTCCCTCCGCTCCTCCTTCTGCTGCCTCGTCGTCGTCCTCCTCCTCCTCCTTCTGCCTCGTCCTCCGTAGCCATTTTGGCTCACGAGTTTCTGGGTTGCCGCACGTCCCCGATTGGCCGCCCGTCCCCGCCGAGAGCGGGAGTCTCTGTCATGGCGGCTGCTGGATGCTGAGGCGCCTGGGGGCTTGCCTCTCCCACCTCAGAGAGTGGGACCGCCACAGCTAGTGCTCACTGCGTGTTTCTGTTCTGCCCCACCCTGCTCGTGGGCCCCGTGCTGCATGACGGGGTCGCTCCTGTCTGCAGGCCCTCGTGCACAGGCCCCCGCTCACCGAGGCGCAAGAGAAGCGCCGCCTGCGTGATGATCGACTTCGCGCTGCCCATTCAGGTCCTGGTCGCCGCTCCGTCGAGTGCGCAGCGGAGGACCGCCCCGCCGTCAAGGCGATGGCGCGGGGCGAGGAGCTCCGGCGCCGCCTGGACTGGCGACGCGGCGAGGCGACCGCACCCGGCAAGGTCTCGGCCTACCGCTCCTGGAAGCAGGGCGTGCTGGACCAGGCGGCGCACGAGGACGCCAGGAGGGCGCTGCAGCGCGCGGACGGCGCCAGGCGCGTCCGCCCTGCGGCGCCACCCGCCCCAAGTGCAGCATCGCTGGCTGCTGCGTCCGCCCGTCGGTCCGCGGCGCTTCCTCCTCCTCCTCCTCCTCCTCCTCCTCCTCCTCCTCCTCCTCCGTCGCTCCCTCCTTCTCCTGACCCCTGCTCATCTCTCGCCTGCTGGTGGTCGGTGATGGGGGGCTCAGTTGGCCAGGGTCTCCGCTGCCCGTGCTCTGCCGTGCCGCGGGCAGCTCCAGTGCAGTCGCAGTGCTTCACCTCCCCCGCCGCCTCACCCTTCCAACCCTTCCAACCTATACGCCCACGCCCACTACAACCTACAGGATCTGGAATGCTTCCCCGACTCCAGCGTTACGTGTTCTGCCCACTCTGGTCGTTTCTCCGACTCCTGTTCACACCTTTCCGACTCCGGCTCCAGCTCGGACTCCTGCCCCCAACACGTATCCTGAGGGCTCCGGCCCCCCCGCGCCGCCCTATGAGGGCCGGTTCCGCAGGACCGAACTCGCGCGCTCGCCTCGCCTCGCCTCGCCCTTCCCTCTCCGCTCTCCCCGCTCCCCTCCTCCCGCGCCCCCTCCCCCCGCGGCGCCCAGGCGAGAGCCACATTTTGAAAATGAGCCGCCGTCAATCCGTGAAGTTCTTGCTTTTTAGAAACGAGCGTGCGCGGCGTAAAGGCGGGAGCCACATGTTGAAAACCAGCCGCCCTCAATCCGTGCAACGATTGCAAAAGTTTAGCGGCGAGTGTGCGCGGCGCTAAGGTGGTAGCCATATTTTGAAAACCACCCGCCCTCAATCCGTGACATGCTTGTAAGCTTTTAAGACGAGCGCTCGCGGCGCTAGGGCGAGAGCAACGTAATTTTTGAAAACCACTTGCCCTCAAGTTGTTAAATCTTACACATGTTTAGCGAATGTGCGCGGCGCTAAGGCGGGAGCCACGTCTTGAAAACCACCCGCCTTCCCTGTGTGAAGCTGTTGCCACGTTTTTTTAAGGTTCAGGCTGTTAAGTGGTAAGGATGTCCCGGGCGAAACGCCCGGCCCGCCCTTCCGACTGGCTTCCGGGCGCGACAAGGAGGAGTTAGCCATAAGGTAAAGGAATGGAGGAGGAGCTGGAGGCGGAGTAAGAGGATGACATGGAGGGTACCCACCGGTTGTTGAAAGGAGATACCCGGAGATTCCCAGATGCAATCTACTTCAATATTTTCATGTCCTTCTCTGCATAGGGGGGGATCGGAAACTCAATATACCTTCAATGCCTTTCTATTTTGTGTTTCTACTCACCTCTTCCCACCGATGGGTATGCAGGACGCAAGGGGTAGATTTGGCGACGGAGCAGGGGACGTGGGATTGGAATGGGCAGGGGGCAAGAAGGGTAACCGGAAAGGGTGTGGGAGGGGTGATCGGGTTTACCAGGAAACGGCTGGTACGTTTGAAAAGGTGGTGCTGTCGTCGCCGTCCTCGCAGCCCTTGTCTTTGTGCTACTACCCCTTGTCATGGCCCTCATCCTGCTTCCTCCTCCTCCTCCTCCTCCATCTAGGAGCTGCTGTGGCTCTCAGCACAGCAGGAGCTCCCACCACACCTGCCACACCGTACAACCCATGGGTGGAGGTCACTAACATGCGGGGCGGCAGGCCTAGGCTGGCCTGCAGCACCTACTCTTCCTTCCTTCCACCCGCAGGAATCGTCTTCGCCATGGTACTGAGAGTTTTGGCATATAATGTTGAATGGGACGATCACACCCGTATGGAGGAGATATCGACTCTCACGCCGACCGTCAAGATTCTGATGCTCAACGGAACTGAGCGCGCCGCAATGAAGGACGAGGACGAGACGCAGGCGAACTTGCCGAACCACACTAGCGTGAAGTTCGGGTCCCGAAATTCATGGTGGCCAAACCTTTCCTACGGCCTGGCGATGATGTTCAACGCGGAGATGAAGGGCACTCTGCAGCAGATCTTGCTCCCACCAAGGTCAAGGGGCATCGCAGGGCGGATCGACATGACAAAGTTTCGCATTGGAGCACGTACGGTGGCTTTCTTTCCTCTCCCTGTTTACCTGCCGCCCAAGGGTACTACGCCGTCACTGTTGAAAGAGGCGGTCGATAAATGCACGACACGGTTCACCGAGACAGTTGACAAGCTTGGTCATCAATCATTCAGTATCATGGGAGGAGATCTGAATTGCTCATTCGGCATCCGAAGAGACGCCACTGGGCGCAAGTACTATCGAGCTGATCATGCATATGGGATAAAAACCCAGGGATGGAAATAGCAGTTGCCGCCGTTTGACACGCAGTTCCATCGGCTCCAGCAGTTTTTCTCAGTGCATGACTACCACTACATCTCTCATCAGCCACGCGATGGGCGCAGACAACAGCATACGATTCCGTCTCCTTGCCTTCATATGTCAGATGTCCCACTACCACGGCCTCACATTGGGAGTGGTAAATGGGATGTGAATCACATTGAGCTCTGTCCATCAAGATCGAGCTCTGGTTTCACTGCCATGGCGAAGTGGCAGCCACGACAACTGCGGCAAGGATTCTTGCTCTCTGAGACTCTTGGGCGCGATGGCACTGGCACCTATAGAATAGCAGCATCACGTTGAATGTTTCACACATGCATGCATGTCGTGTAGCACGGCGCAGTGAGCACGCGATGCGCATACTTGTATACAGAGTGTGCCCTGCGCGTCCACTAAGCATGTAACTACGTATAGCTGCAGGTAGGGAGGGTTGAGCCTAGAGTTTCGCCCTCTCGTTTTGCTCTAATTAGGAGGATGGAGACGGCCTAGGGCCGACGAGGGGCCCAAGGCTATATAGGCCCTCGCGGGCTCCCTCAGGTGTCCTTCCGCCTCGCCTAATGACAGAACCAGCAGCAACTCAGGACGCTGGCAGGCGCCCAAATTTGTTAGGCTCGTGCCCCGTGCCCGAAGTCGAACTGCTGCCGAGGTCGCTCGCTCGCTCGCTCCTCCTCCATCTCTTCCTCCTTTCTGGTCCTCATCCTCCTTGTCAATTTTTATCCTCCTCCTCAATCCTCCTCCAGTTCCGTCTCCTCCTACTCCCCCTCGATCGTCAGATGCCCTGAAAATCGTCTTCAGTCCGCCTATGCCATGCTCTCGCCCATTCCCATCCCCCTCCTCGGCCCTCCCGCGCCCCTCTCTCCTCTCTCCTTTCGCTGTCGCCGCGGCCCGAGGAGGAGGAGGAGGAGGCGGAGGAGGAGGAGGATGATAATGATGATGAGGAGGAGGAGGAGGAGGAGGAGGAGGAGGAGGAGGAGGAGTAGGAGGAACCCCCGCGCCAAGAACGGCAACTGGCGCTTTCTCGTTTCTAGAGCGGGGCCACTTCCGGCCGCACTAGTGGCCTTAGGATGCCTCAGGCGTGGGTCCGTATCGCTCATCATCCGGAAGTCTTTCACTCCGCCGTACTTGCCCGAGTTCTTCCGCACATTCAATCGCCATGGCCTTTGTCTTCTTTCGGCGGCGAGCGAGGGGGGGAAGTCAGAAGGGGAAAACCTTCTGGGAAGGCGGTTGGGCTTCTCGGAAGCCCTCGCGCTTTCTGAGAGATGTTCTGTGTTTCCGGGGAGGGGTTCGAACATTTCTCAGAAGTCCGGGGGTCTTCCGAGCCTTCTGAGAAGGCCTTCTCCTTCTGACCTCCCCCTCGCTCGCCGACGACGATTCATCTGATAGCATTATAAAGTTTACCCGTATTAGTACTATTTATCGTCCTCTTCCTCTTTTTCCTCTTCTTATCTTTATTGTTGTTTTGTTAGATTGTTCGTCTAATGATCATTGCTATCATGATGATGATTGTCAGCAGTATTGCTTTGATTGGTTACCGTTCGTAGTACTATGAGTTGTGTCCATAATCACTTTAGTATTATCAGTAGTATTCGTATTATTCATCGTATCAGTATATTCACATATGTAGTATCCTTATGGTGTGTGCACTTAGCTATGCATGTATGTTTGTGTGCATACATGTATATATGTATGTATGCATGCATGTATGCATGTATGCATGCATGTATGTATGTATGTAGGTATGCAGGTATGCATGCATCCATGCATGCATGCATGCATGCGTGCAACTATGTATATCTGTATGTATGTATGTATGTGTGTAGGTGTGTGTATGTATGTATGTATGTATGTATGTATGTATGTATGTTTATATGTATGTATGTATGTATCTATGTATCTATGTATGCATGCATGTATGCATGCATGCATGCATGTATGGATGTTTGTATGTATGTATGTATGTATGTATGTATGTATGTATGTATGTATGGATGGATGGATGGATGGATGGATGGATGTATGTATGTATGTATGTATGAATGAATGTATGTATGTATGTATGTATGTATATGTGGATACATGCATATGTTCATTTATGCATTTCATTGTGTGTATTACTATTCGTTTGTTTCGCATTGTGATTATTGTTGCTAGTAGCACTCCCCTGAGAGCCGGCGTTGCGAACCATCGCAAGGTCGCTAAGCCCTGGACCCCCTCGAGGGGCATGCCTCGGGCGGCCTCGACCTGCAGCGCCCGGGAGCTCGGAGCCCTCGCCGCCCGCAGCCTCGCAAGCGGAGGGCGCCGCTCGCCCCGGGCCCGACCCTCCAGGCACCCGCCGCCCCGCCGCCCCCCGCGGCGCCTCGCCCTTCGCGCTCGGGCCGCACGCCGCGCCCGCCCGCCCGAGGGGCCCGCCGCCGCCCGGGCGCCGCCGCGCCGCCGAGCCGCGGCCGCCGCCGCGGCGGCGGCCTGGCGGATGGCGCGCCCGCCAGCGCTTGACGCCGGGGGCTGGGAGGCCTCGGGGGGAGGGGAGGAGGAGGAGGAGGAGGAGGAGGAGGAGGGAGGAGGAGGAGGAGGAGGAGGAGGAGGAGGAGGAGGCCTCGGCGCGTCGTGCCCGCTGGCGTGGCGGTCGCGCCCGCGGTCGCGCCAAGCGCTCGCCGCTGCCGCCCCGGGCCCTCGCGCGAAGCCGGCCGGCGTCGTGCCCGCCGCCGCCGCCGCCGTGCTGTTCCCCGCCGTCGTCACCGCCGCAGCCGTGCAGACCTCCCCAGCGTTTTCAAGACTTCGGGTCTGCGGGTGTTCGTTGCTTTCGGCATCCGGGGGCCCGCCCCGGGCCCCGGGACCGTCAGGAAACAACTTGCTGGATGGAAATGGGGGGCCCCCTCACGGGGTGGTGACCACACCGTGTGGTCAGTCGGTGGGGATCTGGAGTCACCGCACGGTCTTAGGACTCGGGTCGTTCTCCCAGGATGTCTCGGGCGACAGGGGCCACCAGGGTCCCAAACCCGTGTGGTGACGTACCCTGCGGTGAGGTCTTTGCGGATTTTGAGTTCACCGCCGGGTCTGTCACCACAAGGTTCTGGGACCCCCAAGGGAAGCCCATCCCAGGCAAAGGGTCGGAACTTCGGGGACCCCGCACCCGGAAAAACAATACATCGGATCTCTGGGGCCGTCGCCGCGCACGCCGCCGCGTCGTGCTGGTCGCAGCCGTCCTCGCCCGCGGGCCCCGTGCCCGCCGCCGCCGCCGCCGTGTCGGTCGTCGCCAGACCCCCGACGTCATATATTCCCAGACATGATCGCGTCGTACAAATCAGTATGGGAGGTTTTTGGCCGTTTCCAGCCCCTGAGGGCCCTCGCCGGGCCTCCGGACCGTCAAACAACGACTCATGTTGAAAAACCGGTTCCGGGGAAAGGGTCGGGACTTCCAGGGGCCCCGTATTGAAAAAACCAGGACGTCGCATTTCTGGGTTCTTGTCGCAGCGTGGACCCCATCGGAGGTCCCGACCCCCATCCCCCAGGACCGGCCTTGGATCCTGAGCCGTTTCTTCGTGGCCCTCGGGCGCAGCGAGAGGTCCCCCTATAGAGGCCGCAAGCGGTAAGACCCTCCCTTCGGGATTTTTGCACGACGCGAGACTGTCCGGGCCGCCATCGTCGCCGCCGGCGGCCGCCGCCGCCGCCGTGGCCCGAGGCCTCCTACAGCGCGCTCTCGGCCGCCGGCGCCGCGGGCGCGCCGCTCGACGACGCGCAGGTCCTGGCCTCGCCGCCGCGCACGCGGTCGCGGGTGCCCTCCAGCGACAACCTCTTCGTGGACCTGGCCTCGTGCGGCAAGGAGGGGCTGTCCGCCAGGATCGGGTCCCACGAGCCCTGCGCGGCACGAGGGGCTGGCCTCGTCCTCCTCCTCCTCCTCCTCCTCCTCCTCCTCCTCCTCCTCCTCTTTACCTTTCTCCTGCTCCTTCTCCTCCTCCCCCTCCTCCTCCTCTTCCACCACCTCGTCCTCCTCCTCCTCCTCCTCCTCCTCCTCCTCCTCCTCCTTCTCCTCCTCCTCCTCCTCTCCCCCCTCTTCGTCCTCCTCTTCCTTCTCCTCCCCCTCCTCGTCCTCTTCCTACGCGTCAGAAACCTTCGCTGGAGTGACCTTTGGTGCGGGGCCCATGGGGTCCCCCCGGTCACGGAACGAGGTGCGATAGCATCGCCTGGCGCTCCTGGTTTGGACCCCCCCGCGCCCCCCACACAGCCGCGCACCAAAGATCATTCTTGCCCAGGGTCGCTCTTGCGCTTTGCCGAGAAAATTGCAGCAGAAAGTCTGGGTCCAGGGCTTTGTTCACGATGTTTCGAGCTGCTGCATGTCTCTCGCCACGTCGGACCTCGGGGACTGGGGGTGGTGGTGCTTGGGTGACGTTCGTTTTAGTGTCCGAATTCGAGGAGAGGGAGTGTTACAAGACCTGATGCATGCAGCCTCTTTCGCCCCCCCACCCGCGGGCGCTTTCCTCGCCACATCGGCGCCTCTGGCGCCGTGAGGCGCCGAATACAGCCAGACGCGTGAGCTGCTTCGCTAACCCATGCTGCAGCCAGACAGCACCACAGGGTGAGGACTCTCCAGGGGCACCCCCGCATCCGTGCATCGTCGGCCCACCCTTGTCCATCATCGTTCCTCACCGAGCGCGTTCCACTACTCGGAAGTGCCAACTCGCAAACGTCAAAGCAAACTCCCGTGTTTGCCTCGACGTAAGGGATCGTGAATCCCCCGCGGCGGATCCAGGCCATTTGCGAGTAGTTACTCTGCGAGTAGTGGAACGCTCTTGTCTACAGACAACGCGTCTAGTCAGGACGCGCGCCTCCATCTAGTCTGCCCTTGTGTCTTTGCCGCTGCGGCCCGTCCTCTGCCGTTTTCGCTGGTCGCCCACCGCCCAGAGAACAATCCCAGCATCGGCCTCCGAGGGCTTTGCGTCCTTACCGCCCGTCCTTAACACAATGCACGCTTTGACCGCGGTTACCCTGCGAGTAGTGGAGCGCGCTTGAAAAGATTCTTGAAGGGGGGGGCATCATCGCCGCAGGCCGCCTGCCCCCAAGAAGCCTCCGCGGGGGCTCCCGCGCACCCTCCTCCTCTTCCTCCTCTTTCTCCTCCTCCTCTTCCTCTCATCCTCCTCCTCTTCTTCCTCTCCTCCTCCTCATCCTCTTCCTCTTCCTCCTCCTCCTCCTCTTCCTCTCTTCCTCTCCTCCTCCTCCTCCTCCTCCACCTCCTCCTCCTCCTCTTCCTCTTCCTCTTCTCCTCCTCCACCTCCTCCTCCTTCTCCTCCTCTTTCTCCTCCTCCCCCTCCTCCTCCACCTCCCCCTCCTCCCTTTCCTCCCCCCCCCTGGCCAGGACCAGCCAGTTCCTGGACGGCCTCCAGCGGTACAGCGAGGTGACGTCCCCGAGGGCCGAGGTCGTCGGCTTCGCGGGCAGCGGCATGCGCCAGGGCTCCGTGGCCAGCGGCGTCTTCACGCTGGTGGCCTCGGCCATGGGCGCCGGGTGTCTGTCCCTGCCGCGCACTTAGGTGCCCTGATACGCCAGTCTGGACTGGACGGAGCCAGGACGAGTAGAAGAGCGTTCCGGGACGCTCCGAGAATGCCGCGGCGCCCGAGGCATTTGCCAAAGCCGCCGCATCTCAGAGACTCTCGATCTGTCTTCCCCCGATGTTGTCCTCGTCCCAGCTTCGTCTTACATGACACGCAGCACGTTCCATGCTCAGAACGTCCGCGTCAGCACGCTGCGTACTGGCTCGGCACGCGCTGGGCCGCGTGCTGGCTCAGACCTGCGCGTGCCATCTCCGTGTTGTGTTGAGCTCGGTGTCAACACGCTACAGTGGAGACCCATGCCAAGAAGAAAAAACCCTGCTCGCCTCCAGGGTGCCCTGGGTTTCTTGGGATCCAATGGTCTTGCGACGGAGAGCGCGACTTTCCCACATGAAGAATCAATGGACGTCCTGGGGTCTAAGGTTTCGGTTTCCTGTGGAAGGTTTCTCCTGGACTAGCCTAAATCGGGCATGTCCCCCTACAGGAGGAATATTGAAAAATAGTTGAACAAATTGTCTGGGAACGATTTTTCGCTTATTTTTTGATTATGTTAGAATTGCATTCGTCCAAACATCCGCCCGTAGGAGGACCTGCCCGACCTAAGACTAGTTTCCACTGTGCGTGTTGCGTGCTGCGCATCGGGGCGGCTGAGGCCGCACATGTTCCGGCGCAGCGGCGTGGGCCTGGGGCTTGCGCTGCTCGCCTGCGGTGCCCTGCTCGCCCACGTCGGGCTGGTGGTGCTGATGAGCTGCGCCAGGTGCGCCCCCGAGGAGGGGCGAGGCGAGGCAGCGGCAGTTGGCCTCGGGGCGGCACCCTCGTCGCGCGGCTGGTCGCAGCTCGGGGAATCAGGACGGGGCTAGGACGAGGATGGATCCTCCTCCTGCTCCGTCTCCTCCTCCTCCTCCTCCTCCTCCTCCTCCTCCTCCTCCTCCCTCCTCCTCCTCCTCCTCCTCCTCCTCCCCTCGCCTATCCACC